CTTAGTAGTAGTAGTAGTAATTAAATTTCTATTGCAAGTTTTGCAAACAATAAATCTTCAGATTTGTGCTTGCAATTCAAAAAACCAAGTGAAAAAGGCAAAGTTAAAAAAATGCTTTTAAAATTGCTTACTCTATTAGTACATTTATATATATGATATATAAATATACTATAAATCATCCTCGTTGATCCTTGAATTCCAGTGGGCTCATGACAACTCATTTTCTATCTGGACTAGTCCCAATTTAAGACCTAAATTCAGTAAAATTTTGATTAGACTCAAATTTTGTTTACAGTAATTTTTCATCTGTAGAGATTTCAATCAATTCAATCATTAACTTCAGTAGTTATGCTGTTATGTTGGTTTGGCTACAAGATAACTTCCAAAAAAAATATATAAAAGTTTGTGGTAGAATGTAACAAAATCTGAAAAGGCTCAAGGGCTATGACTACTTTTAGAAGTCTCTCTTACTAAAATATTGTTACTCTTCAAGCTATTATCTTATTGATGTAAGCAAACTAGAATTGTTGAGTATTATTCTTTGCTTTATAACCACATAAATAATAAAGTGAAAAGATTACCAAGGGCCATGTGAAAGCAACATTGTAAAACAATCACTGTGACAATGACCAGGCTTGTGTCATTAATGCAAACCAGACACTAAGACATTTATCTGTCCTCTGTTCCAACATAATTTTACTTTCCAAAATCTGACAGCAAGTTCTGGCACATAGAATGAAGTAATGTTTTCCAATTTTAATTTTTCCATCAGTTTTCCTTCTCCTCTGCCCTATATATATATATATATATATATATATATATATATATATATATATATATATATATATATATATAATCTTGTAGATTGTTGTGATACAACAGATGAAGTTGACAGCTAAAACTGTAAACCCAAAGTTGGAGAAGGGGTGTTGCGGGAATGCATAGTGAGATCTGTTCACTTTTCTGTAATCTGGCCATCTGCCGGGATGAAAGATCTAAATATTATGACACTTGACATGACTGAGTGTACCTGCTGGTTATATTTTAGCTGATCCGCACTGAGGCAAGGTGGCTTGTGTCTTGGTGACAGTTCTGTCCTCAAAGTCCCCGTCTTTCTCTCATGGCTATGAAGTTACTTCTTCATAGCCATCACCCACTGTAAACTCTTATGTAATCAAAAGATAATAAAGAGGCTGCAATCTGCAACTGTGGTACCTCACTGTGCACCCTCTGTAACCAAATTAGAGAGACACTGGTGCAAAAAATCCTTAGGAACAATTTGGGAAGTCTTAAAAGCAGCGATATTGTCTCAGTAAGCTATTACTATTTTTACATCTTTGAAGGTATGATAGCATGGAACAAGAACAGAAGAATCAAGAGTAAGATAAAGTAAGAGAAAGAGAGAGAGAGGAAGCTCATCATGTGTTACAAATGTTGCTCATGAATGTTGGGGGAGGTTAGTCTGTGTTGCAAATAACACGTTCCTTCAGTCGGGTGTTCATTTCAATCTGCAGTACAATATCCTCAAGTCTGAACCCTTGGATGAGGATCACTTGCCAGAGGATGATTTTTTTTTTTTTTTTCTTATACTTCCTTCTTGGGCAGAAGGCTGGTGTAATAGAAACCAGACACAAGCCAGCATGTGAGGCATCCATCCACTGCGGCGAGACCTCACTTCTTCGCAGAGTAGAATAACAGGATTAGAAAGAGAATTATAGTTCAGAAAAGTAAGTTCCGACTTCAGTTTTTTTTAGTTAATTTGGATTTTTTTTTAAAGAAGGTCTGTTAGGATGAAAAGTGGATCAGTCTGTTTAGAAATAAAGAGTGTGGGGAAAAGAGGACTGCAGAAATGGGAATGCATGTGCAACTTTTTCAGGTGAGTTGCATTAGTTACATCATTTTACCCACAATTTATTTTGCAAAGATATTCTGTAAACTAATTTTTAATGTTCCAAATGNAGGCTAAATGTAGAGAAATTAGTAAAACTTCAAATATACATTTATACACTACAAGGGTTTTAATGAGGTTTTTTTTACGTAAATATGATCATTTATTTCACGATGTGTGGTTCTGAAATATTGACATATATATATTGTTAAACGTTTATGGTACAAGATTACAACTAGATTATTTTTTTGTCATGCAAATGAAAATTCTTTTCTATTCAATGTTTTTTAAGATTTGTAAATTGTTTAATTTGTTTTGATTTAATCCTTATAATAGAAATAAGTTAAAATAAAAAAACATTTTAATTTTAACAAACCTACTAAAACATAAAACAAGTTTTGATCTCATTTTTTGTTTATGTTCAGTGGATTTTTATACTTATTTATTTAATAATTAAAGGTTCTTGCTCCCTTTACCTTTGTTTTAAGTTTTATTTATCAGAGCGGATCACTGTGGGTAGTATTAAGCAGTCAAAACGCATTTTTTTTTGGGTAGTGTCATTTGCAGTCTACACTACCTTTTTTAAACATTTGTGAGATTTAATAAACAAAACAAAAAAGATGCATATATGTTAAAAGTCAAGATGTATCCCACATAAATCCCACTTGATTTATGTGGGAAATTATTTTCTTTACATCTCTTTCTATTACAATTTAACTAATTGATGCTACAAGTTTCCTGCTTTTAATTTATGTTTGCTAAAATGCTGGAACAAATTAAGGTCTGATCAAAAGAACAATAAAGAAATATATTTATTAAAAGAACAATCAAACACATCGACAAACTGATGATATGAAGGAAAACTGTTGTGAATAAAACTTGAATAGTATCTTTGAGACTGAGACTGTTGTGGACATCTGACCATCTCCTGTACTGGGAGGACTGGAAGAGGAGTGGAGGCCTGGTGTTTGGAGCAACAATCCTCTACTGTTCACTGGGTAGATGGCACATCAAACACAGGCAGTACAGTATCACAGTCATGAGATCACTGCGGACTCTTTCGTTCTGTATATTGGATAAAAGTCCTAAATTATCTCATTGCCTCACTTCTGCAGGGATGCTGGTTCTGAGGAGAGTATGACCCTATGCCATCTTATGTCATCTTTTTTTTCTTCCTGTATGACAATCGGCATATTATGCCAAAGCATGCCGAACAAACCATGCTTTGATTCAAAAATGGTCTTTTCACCTATTCCAAATCATTAGTATTTGATCTTAGGTATGTTCTCTGTTTCTGAGGGTGTGGTGCTCTTTGGTCTGTTTCATTTATGACAATGATTCTTAAGTAATGTGTCTGATGAAGGGCTTTTTCTTTGTCTTTTAATCTTTTCTTTGCTATTGTGTGTAATTTTCTTCTATCGTTACCAAGCATTCAATTCAAGACAATCTTACATTGCAAAATCCCTTTGAGGTAAACAAAAGAATGCCATATGTTTGCAATTCAATGAAAGCAAGAAAACAGAAATTGCTCTTAATTGAAGCTATCTTATCTTTAATGGGGATATGAAAGCAAATACTTCCATGCGTAGCAGATCAAGTAACTGTGGTTTGACTCCATTTATGGGATTTTTTTTTTTTTTTTTTAAAGAAGTTGACTTTTTATTATAACTAAAGAACTAAAAATTCTTTCTAATGCAAATAACCTGTGATTTAAAATTAATTTTCCATGAATATTTTCCAGAAATATATTAAGTAAAAAAGTTTGTTCTATATCATAAAAGTAGTCATCAGACTGCTGAACTGTAATCATTAAAGACAAACTTTTTTAAGCTAGTTTTAAATCCTATAGCATTTATTTTCCTATAGCACTATACAATAATTATCCTATTATTTTTTACAGCAATGTACTTTCCCTAATGTGTCTTTTTTGTATACAGCACTTTAAGGCACCTGCTAATCTTATTTAGTAGAAGTGTTGTCTCTCTATGCAACAAGGATTGTACCCCTGCAATATACTGAAGAGAATTATAATTTTTGTGAAGATGCTCTTTTCCACATTACACAGGATGTGATCTGATTCCAGTGTCTGAAATAAAATATGCAATATCTAATCCAGATATTCTTCACTCAAATATTTTGTTTGCTTTTGTCCTATTGTAGTCTGGAATGCTACTATTATTTGCATGTGAATGATATCCCTTTATTCAGGGATATCATTAATATCAGAGCAACATTAATATGTACATAAAAGCAAACTGCTTGTTTCTAAGATGCTGAAAAAAACAAACATTTTAGAAGTAAGTGAATCAGAATCACTGCAGCTTCTCTGTGTAACATCTACACTGTATATATCTGTAACTTGTATCCAACTGCTAATATTTTGAGATCTGTTATGGATTTTTTCATGACGGAGCTAAAAACTCAAAAGCGTAAAACAAAGTCCCCTTTTATATTTTAATCATCTTTCCACTACTGAAGCTCCTTGTTGCTTCTATAAAGGTTTGTTTTACTGTTTGATTATTACTGACACACCTAGAATGATTTCCACAGCCCAAAATGTTTGTGAAAACACACAAAAAAAATGGCTATTTCATATTTTCTCCCTTTCAACACTATTTTAATTCTCTGTTTATGAGATTATCATGTATTCTCTTCAAGTGTCTCTCATCTTTGTCTTCAATGGTAAAATACAGGGATGTATATGTTGGTTTTTCCCCTTTGCTATTTACTCCTGAGAATTTTTTTTTTTGCCTTTCTAGTTTGTACCTTGTGCCTTAAACATACCTTTACATGACTATGTACTCAAATCTTTGCACATTATTTCATTATTAATTGCAGTCAAGTAATTTCTTAAATGGTAAAGGGGATTGGTCATAGGACTGCACAAATGTCACTTTTATTTTAGTTCAATTGTTTATTTTAATGATCAGTCTAATAAGCTACACTCTATAAAGCTATGATTAAAGCTTTTCGAAATGTTTTAGATCTCCTTAGTTGAGGAAATAATCATCAAAGGTGACCATGGAAATATGTTTCCCCCTCAAGATTAAAACTGTGGTTTAGATCCAGAAATGTTGGTTAAATTTTTAAAATGTCATCGTTTGTTTTACAGATTGTAGTTAAAAGCCTGTAGGAGCAACATGAGCTGGAGCTTCCTTACCCGACTTCTGGAGGAGATCCACAACCACTCCACATTTGTGGGGAAAGTGTGGCTCACTGTGCTCATCATCTTTCGCATTGTACTCACAGCCGTAGGAGGAGAGTCCATCTACTCTGATGAGCAGACTAAATTCACCTGCAACACTAAGCAGCCGGGCTGTGACAACGTGTGCTATGATGCCTTTGCCCCTCTTTCACATGTTCGGTTCTGGGTCTTTCAGATAATCATGATCTCCACTCCCTCTATCATGTACATGGGCTACGCCATCCACAAGATAGCACGATCCTCAGAGGTTGAGCGCAGGAAACACCAAAGACTCCACAAGAGGCCGCCTCCTCATACAAGATGGAGAGAAAGTCAACCTCTTGAGGGTGACCTGGAGGAGGAGGAAGATGATGATGCTGAGCCCATGATCTATGAAGATGCACTTGAGGTTCATGATGGCAAAGTGCAGCCTGTTAGCAACACTGGCAAAGATCCACCCAAACATGATGGGCGCAGAAAAATCCTGCAACAAGGCCTAATGAGAATCTACGTTCTCCAGCTCATGTCCAGAGCTATTTTTGAAATTGCTTTCCTGGCGGGACAGTATCTCCTATATGGATTTCGAGTGAATCCTTCCTACGTGTGCAACAGGATACCTTGTCCACACAGAGTGGATTGTTTTATCTCCAGACCTACAGAGAAAACAATCTTCCTCCTCATTATGTATGTGGTGAGCTGTCTTTGTCTCGTGCTGAATGTCTGTGAGATGCTTCACTTGGGAATCGGCACATTTCGGGACACGCTTCACATGAAGAGAAACCGTGGTCGACGTCCCGGGTCCTATGGCTATCCGTTTTCACGCAACATCACAGCCTCGCCACCTGGGTACAACCTTGTAATGAAAACAGACAAACCCAGCAGGATTCCCAACAGCCTTATCCCCCATGAGCAAAACATGGCCAACGTAGCCCAGGAGCAGCAGTGCACCAGCCCGGACGAGAACATCCCCTCCGACCTTGCAAGCCTGCATCGGCACCTAAGAGTTGCACAGGAGCAGCTGGATATGGCCTTTCAAACCTATCAGATCAAAAACACTCAGCAGACCTCCAGAACAAGCAGCCCTGTTTCTGGGGGAACTGTGGCAGAACAAAATCGAGTCAACACTGTCCAAGAGAAGCAAGGAGCAAGACCAAGATCAGCTACAGACAAGGCTACGACCATCGTAAAAAATGTAAAGACCTCTGTATGGATATAAAGATTCACCTATTATAGGAAACTGACATTAAACTAATAAACTACAAAACTGTAATAAAGGATGAAGAGATTTAACTATGGACAGCAGGATGTAGGGGCACTAACACTCTAGTCTCTGAAAATACAAAAAGCAGAAAACACAGAGATCAAACTCAAAATAATGAATCATTTCATAGGAGTAGATGTTGATTATAGTTAACAACATATACCTGCTTAGCTTAGCATCTTTAATTCCAGCTAAACTTCATGACACACATGGTCTCCAATGAAAACTGACTGATTTATGTGGAGAAACAAAGCTTTAAATGTTAGCTATCGTAGTGAAAAATGGACAGTAAAGCACTTAAATAGCACTTTTTTTGTTTTTACATAGACTATTATCGATCTAAAGATATGTGTTTTACATTAAGATACATACTTTTTGGAGGTAGAAGCAATGTAATAACAATTTCTTCAATTGTGACGAGAAGCGGTAAAGACTTTTTTTAGGAAACATTTGCACAGTGTTGATCTTCAGTCATTCGTGCAAAGCCCTGATCTCTGTGTTACAGTTTTCCAAAAGGGTTATGTAAAATAAAACAGAAAATAAATACATATTGTAACAACTTTCTTTACTAAATACCAATATCCTGTGAGAAGACTATCCATTATTTATAGCTGGGAACTTGAACAGGTACAGTCATATTTCTGACAGAAATCCAATCACTGATCATTCATTAAACTCTTACCTTAAATTCAGTTGGATTTATATTTTCAATTTATCTCTGCTACTGAAATGTTTGAGCAATATGGAATTCTGCCTTCACTGCTTTCAATTTTCAAAGTGCCTCCAATTCTTAAAGTCTGTTTCCGTATTAATTTGGTGAATTAATTAAATTGAAATCTCAAAACTTCCTGATGTCTAGTAGCTCAGTATGCTTCAGTGACTTATTGCCCAAACAAGGGCATGTCTCTAGGAACACAAGCTCTCCAATCTAAACTTAGAAACTCTAAGTAAGTTGGCCTCTTGAAGTCCAAAACTATTTATCTGTTCAAAAATACCAAAATCCGTTAATAAAGCAATTTCTTGAAGTCATTAAAAACTGATTTCAACAATCGCAAACATACAAAATTACTACAGCATAAAGTGATAAACTGCTGATATTATGACATATTGCACCTATACATTTAGAAGAAGATACATTTATTTAGAAATTGGATCGACTCAGGACACTTTCCATAAAATTAAATTGATCCACCCATCAAATGCCAAAAGACTTGCTTTGGTTTATTGTCAGGCAGACATTAAAAGTGTGTCTTTATTCATTCATCAGAAAAAGAGATCATGATAAACAAAGGGACTGAAGATATTGGGTTTGCTAAGTTATAGTATTAGCATAAGAAATATATTGTACAATTAGACACTTATTTTTATTTTTTTTTACAAATAAAACCTGAAAAGTGTGGCACGCCTTTAGGTTTCCTATCCCGGCTTAATACTTTTTCCAAAGAGTTTTTATACCCACTTACAGCAAACAGTTTTTCAGGCTATTTCTCAACTATTTTAAAACATAAAGAGCCTTTCTTTAAACAACTATTGCTTAAAAGGCAGTTTTTTTTTTTTTTTTAGTTTTTTTTTTTAGAGAGGACTGATAATAGCTGTCCAGTCGGTAGATTCTTCTCCCTGAGATGGAGTCTATGCAGCTCGTCCTCAGTTACCTGATGACTGCTTCTCTGATCGATGCTGTCCTCCATTGGCCAGCACTACAGCTGTTAGATAATTTGCAGAAAATAAAAAAAAGAATACACAGTCATGTATCCTCTTAGTTGCACTTCAATATTCGGCACCATTTTCTGTATCTGTTGGTCACATTGATGCTTGTAGCTCTAATGTGATAACATGTATAAATGTGAATACTATTTAAAGGCACTGCAAATCTGCCAAATGGATGTAACAGAACAGAAGACACTCTTTAAAACATGGTGGATGTGAAAGCAATAAAATAGAAATAAAACTGTAAGAAAACAGTTTTAAAACAGTTCATTCTAAGAAGCATCATAACTGAGGGAAACCAAAACTTTAGCCGTTACACAAATCATTGCATACAGTATATGACCCAAAATATATACAATATATACTGTTTTAGTATTTTTTTCAGGTGGTTTAATTGTTTATATTTATATTAAATTAACGACTTGGCAAACAACTAACAGATTTGGGGTAAAATCCAAAGGCTGCTATTGACATATATCTACTCTTGTCCAGATTCGACTGACTTCAAAATAATACTGAGAAAAACTGAGGGGCCTGAACGAAAGTTCCCTGTTCTTAATGGTGAAGATAATTAGGATTTGTACTATGTTGCTACAGTATGTTGCTGAGGACAGAATCAGTTCAGATTCTGAATAATAGAATTTTTATTTTGTTGAGGCAAGCTGAGCTTTGTAGTGGCAAAAGGCTTGCTGACTGCATTGGTGTCAAAAAGCCAATCAGCCATTAACAGATTATCATCTCAAGGGGAGCCAAAAGAGAAAGAAAACAGGACCCTGCTAGTACAATAAAAAGGAGAATAATCTTGTGCATGCATAATTGCATAAAATAGTGAAGTGCTTAAGCTTTCCAAAGATGTTCCAACGTCACTGAAAAATCCTTACTACGGTAATAATCCTAACACAATCAAAACACAGAAAAACTCGCTCATCTACTTTTTACTGCAGCGCTTCCTTTGTTCCCAATAACAGGACTTAATTATAGCTGCAAGCTCTTATATCCACTTTGTCTTTCATCAAGGGCTGCAACAAACGTCTATTTTGCACGCTGAAACTGTTGATTATTTTTTCAATACCTTTCGATTAATTATCAGATAGCCAAAGATTTTTTAAAGAAGATTTTTTAATAAATTAAACCAGGTGAAACTCAAACTTTTCCACTAGAGGAGTTTTGAAGTTTTTAATCTTAAAGGCAAAATGCCTTTAAGATTAAGATTAATGCCTTTGGTATAATTACTGCTCTAAAAGCGTTGCTCTGTCAGCCAAATACATGTTTTAGAGTGTCTATACTTTAGTTACCTATTAATCGATTACTAAATTAGTTGATGATTATTTCAATAATCAATTAATCATGATTAATCCAATTAATTGTTTCATTCCTACTTTTTTCATAAATCAAATACTTTGGCGGGACAAACAATCAATTGTTAATTCTGATGAGATTATAATCATGCAGCAAATCAATTATTTTAAAATATGAGTAGACTATGAAACTGTTTATAAATAATTATCAACTAAAATTGCCACAAATGTAGTCTATCTTTTTGCACTTACACACCAGGTCACCAAGAGGTCATGCACAGTAAAAAATTGTCTTGGGTGATTTTTTTTTTTTTTTCAAATGTGATAAAACATGTTTTAAAGGTAAATTAAATCAGAAATAACTTGTTAAGAATCCAGATTAGTTTTGGCATTAAGCTTTTAAGGAGAAAATCCGGCTACGTATGAGACCCTTACAAATGAAAAGATAAGAGGACTTAAGATTGGAAATTAATCAAAATGTGGTTAAATAAAGTATGGTGGGTAAAATAAGTTTAAAACAAACATTATCTCACTCAAAATGTAATATTTCTGTCTATCTGAAATTAAAATCTGATGTATAGTTTTGAAACACCAAAGTAATCCACGCACACACCCCAAATCAAAAAATGTAAAAACTCTGACTTCATATGTTTGATGCTGTAGAATGTTACAGGGAATAAATACTTAACAACAGAAAAACAAGCACGAAACATTATCTAGAAAGCATTCCTCCTGCTATGTGCAAATGATTATCAGTTGCTTTGATAATAACTGATGGCCTATAAAAGGTTCCATCGAACCAAAGTATTTCAAAGAATAACACAATTGCTAAAAGCAGAGACCGTAACAAAAAGTATTCATGTTGCAAACGATACCAATGGCATTGCTTACAACTGCGTTTTTAAACTTTTGAATGTTCCAGTGAGCGCTGGTGGAGCCAGAATCTGGAGATGGAAAAGAAGAAGCCATAAAGTGGAAGTGGAAGGGACATCATTTCACCATTAACCAGCCATGACCAAGTTCCCCTTGTAAGATTCCTGACACCCGAGTCAAAAGAATAACCAAAAGAGTTGTCCATAAGTCCACAAGAGCCAATGAGCCTTCACATAGAACATCAGAGAGACCTGGAAAAAAGTAGGTGTAGCTAGCATGGCCTTATACACATTAACTGCCCAAACAACCTGATGAAGCTTGTTTAAACTTTGCAGTAGGGTTTTGGGAAAGCCAACATTACAAAGTCAATTAGATAAGTCCTGAACATTTTTTGGGGCACTTTATTAGAAATGTTTGGAGGAATGGTTAACCCAAAAATATCATGGTTTTATATAATGGTTTTAAGTCATTTAAGTCATGATGTGGACTATCTTAAAGCATACAGTACTGACATACAGATAAATGCAGAAATGTATCAGGGCATATAAATCTGAATACAAACAGAATTTGCATTGTCAAGTAATGCAATAGGTTTAAAATATAGGACCAAGGAAACACTTAATTTGAGTGTTCAATAATTACAAAGCATGTCATTCCTTTATTATAATTGTTTTTTTCTACCCATAATTTTATTTGTAGACTATTTCTCTTTGGACAGTTAGGTTTGTACCTGACAACTAGTGTTAATTTCATGTCATTACAACGACATATACTCATATGAAACAAATGTTGACGTGTTTGGAACATATCTAACCCACTGAGTATATGCATATTGTAATATCTCTTCAAAGTATGACTGGTCAAAGTGCTTGTGGGGGAAAAAATCATGTTTTATTTGCAGCTTCTTTCTTTTCATATATTATCACCTACTACTTGTTTTTGTTTTTCTGTTAAATTATACAGTAGAAATGTCACAATAAAAGTGGTACAAAAAATTTCACACAACAGGTCTCAATTTTTGTGTCGAAATCTCGGCGTTCTAGCAAATGTATAATTGATAATAATAATTGATATATAATTGATTAATCTGACTAATTTAAAGTGGATTTCCCAAAAGAGAGACGGAACTCTTCTCAGCAAAAACAACTTTCGAGCAAAGTATGCTGTGACACCAAAATGGCGCCCACCGTGTTGACGTAAGATGTTAAGTTATCGATAACACTGATGTAATCCGTTATTCACATTTTATATACCACCACACTCCAATGTAAGCGTATAAAATGGCAGGTTTGTGTTTTGTCCGTGGAGCTTTTATCGGTCTGGGCTTTAAAACGGGAAAACGAAGCAGTTTGTCGGTTACGCTTCTCTTGGGAGCTGCGACTCAAACCAGGATCCGGGTCAAACAGTACAGCCAGGGCGCGGAGAAAAATGGTCGCGGTCAGTTTGTTTGTTACCCCCTTCCGCACAGGACCCTGTTGAAGATTGAAGGCCAGGACACAAGCCCGTTTCTACAGGGAATTATAACCAATGACATGAAGCTGCTGGAGGAGCCTGAGTGCGCTGCCATGTACTCACACATGCTGAATGTTCAGGGACGAACATTGTATGACATCCTGTTATACAGGTGAGAAAGGGTTGCTTTTATTATTTTATTAACAATTACCAATTTGATCCTTTCTTATTTTAAAGGCCTACTGGGTCTGCAAAAAGTATCCACCTCCCTTTTAACCACAAACCCAAATCCACTGTATGTGATGGAGCAGTTAGTATCTTTAATATCTGAGAATTCAGCAACAGCTTTGTGCAAATAAAATACTCTTTAGGTTTAAATGTTATGAATATCAAAGACTGAACAGGCACTACAGGATGCAAAGTGTAAGTTTAAACACCAAAAGTTTTAAAAACTCCAATATCATTTACAATATGCATTTATTTCTTAATTTCTTCCTGCTTTTGCTTCCTTTTTAGGGCTGCATCTACCGGATATTTTTTCTTTGTTTCGATTATTTGATCAATAATTGCATAGCAAAAGATTCCTTAAAGGTTTTATACAGAATTAAACCAGGGGAAACTAAAACTTTTCAACTGTGGAGTTCTGGATCCAGCCTATTGACAGCAGAAAAAGGTTTTCTAATCTTAAATGCAAAATATATTTTAATATATTTTTCACAATTTTGCTATAATTACTGCTCTAAGTGGGTTGCTCTGTCTGCTAATGGCATGTTTTCGAGTCTATACTAATAGACTAATTTGGCTATCGGATTATTAATCGATGAATCATAGAAATAATTGACAGATAAATCAATTTGCAAAACAATCGTTTGTTGCACCCCTAGTCCATACTCCAGGTAACGATTAATTGATTACTAAATTAGTTGATGATTATTTCAATAATGGATTAATCACGATTAATCCGATTAATTGTTTTAGCCCTGATCCCTTTAGTTATTCTTTGATCTCATGTCATACAATTCAATTCAGTTTATAGAAAATAAGCCAAGTTATTGCTAAATTGTGATAAGAAACAGAGCACATCCCTCACAAATTATCAGTTGAATGCAGAAGCGCGAGTCGTGGCTTTGGACTGGAACAAAATTTGAACACTAAAGTGACAAACACCAGTGCACCACAGTGAGAGTATTTAGACGTAATTATTGATTATTTATTATGCAATAAAATGTTTCAGGTGTATTTTATTTATTTTTATTTATATAGATGCAGGTATTTACATTCTGATTATATGCATTTAAAAAAAAAGAAAATAAATAAAATTAAGTACGATTTTTATTTTTTATTCTTCCTTATTATTTACATTTTTAACTTTGTTTACCAAAGCACTATCTTAGCAGCTAAAGCTTATCTTAATTGGCTTATCAACAGGACAGTGGTCCCAATAGGCCAGCATTTCTACAACAGAATGGGTAAACAAGTATCAATGTGTTGCTTTGGTCTAATCAAAGTCCAGTTGAGTCCAGTCTTAAGCTGATTAAAATGTGGAGTGGAACTTTAGATTTGGGGTCAAGACACATTTAGTCAAACATTATGGGCCTGAGATTAATTAAAACTCTACAGACTCAAACCTTGGCTTATAAGAATGGTGGAACATGTTTACTGTTTAGATATACCGGTAACTGGTTTAAAATCTGAAAGGCCTATTTTAGAAATTATGTTAAAAGTCCTTATTATAAAGAAGGAAAAATTGCTCCAAACCTCAAAAGGATGAACGAATGCCACCAATAAGTGATCTCTAAAGCATTTCCTATCTCACTCATTTGAAAATAAACTTTAATGGGTGTTAATTTCTTTCTAATGCTTTTTTGTATTGGGTGTAAAACGGGTATTATTTGATAGTGTAGATCAGTTTTTGCTGATGCTCTATGAATGAGGCCATTGATTTTTATATCACTGGATTTTACATTGTTAATTAGGGTTGAATTATAGAAAAAACAACGATTCCTCTAGTCAAGCTTAGTCATTTATTAGTAAAGTTTATGAATGCATTATGTTTACTCGCCAGCGTATTTAAGTATAGTGGTCCGTTACACTCCAAAAGCTATGCTGAGAATCAGGCTAATACACTCCTTTTTCTTTTTATGCACCAGTCAGGAGGACAAACGCTGGTTAAGCTGAAACTATTAATTACAACTGAACTGTGCTGTGTAATAAGCATAATGAAACACTGTGTTTTTAAACACATTTACCTCCTTACTTGTTGACATGGGGGAAGCCCTGTGAAAACCGTGCTGTTAAGACTGTCATCAGCTCACTGAAGCTCAGACAGCTTAGAACAAGTTTAAAAGAAATCGCTCCCAACCCTGGTCAGGGGTTCATGCTTTGAAGGCTGTTTGTAGAATGATCACAACACAGCTTTGCTCTTCAAGACTCCTTTATTTGGCCGATCCGAGGTATTCTTTAAATTATATTTTATCTTATTAGCAACTTGCATAATATGAAACTCTCGGAGAGGATGCATGTCTACTTGGACTGGGTGCTTCTAAGGTCAGAGCCCCTGACTTGGGACACAACCATAGATGCAGCTGGCATATTGATCCACGCATGAGAGCAGAAATAAACACTTTTCCACACAACAATAACAGTTAAGTCTTCTGACTTTGGCCTTTGGACAAGCAAACTTTCAAGGCCACAGAAATAAAACTGTGTACATGCTTGTGGTTAGTGCAAAGGAAAATCTGAATAAAATTGCATAACTGAAAAAAAAAAAATCATTCAGCCGTAGTTCCAACACTACTTATTGATTAATGGTCAGGCAGAGTAAACATTTCTGTGTATCATGACAATGTACATGCTTTAATTAGAGACATATTTTGTAAAAACAAACCATAAATAAGGGATCCTTGCTCATTCTTAAATTAGAATAGCATAGTGTTGTTGACATAACTCCAGCTCTAGTGGCTGATTCGGGATGTCCTATCCAGTGAGACATATTAATGAATGAAGTGCTTGAAGGAAGTTTTAATAAAAGATAAATACCTTCATGTAGAATTGGTTAAAGAAAAAAAGCAAAATGTCTATCAAGTGTACAGAGAATTGGACCTGAGAGAAGCAACTGGTGAACATCTCTGCGCTGTCATCAGGCAGAAAATCCAAACATACAAAATAGGGTTGAAAAAATTTATTAGATTCATTGTGATTAATTATTGAAATAATCGTCAACTGTTAATCATTAACTGGAATATAGAGACTTATACTTGCCTTTAGCTGACAGAGCGTCCCACAATGAGCAGCAATTATACCAAAATTGTAAAAGAAAATTATGTAAACATTTTGCACTTAAGATGAAAACATGTATCTGTCAATATTCTCTATCCAGAACTCCAAAAGTGAAAAAAAAAATTTTTTCAGTGGTATAATTTAGTAAAAAATCTTCACTTTTGGCTATCCAATTATTAATCGATTAATTGAAAAGATAATTGACAGATTAATCGATTTGTAAAATACTCTGTAGTTGCAGTACTAATACAAATATAAGGTGTTTTGCTCAGCTAAGTAGGATACAACATTTTTTACAACACACACCTTGTTTGGAGGTACACAGTTCTTTCTAGTTAAAAGCAAAATATGTTATTAATTGCAGTTATCTAATCCTGTTTTCATGGTTCTACCGGCTACTAAGCCTGTAGAATCATATTACAGGAAATGGAGAAGACTTGAATTCCACTAAGCATAAGAAAAAATTACTTTCTGAAAGAAAATTGTTTAACTTTAAAACATTTTTAGTTTCACATTTCTTCTAGTAGGCATGCTTGTTCCTCTATGAAATCTGCACAGACTGTGTCAAAATATAGTCTTTACCTTGGCAAAATAACTGCATTTTGTGTTTAACTCACATTTTATGGTGAATTGACTTTTTACACTACTTAACTTAAACCTAATTTGTTTTATTTTCCTTCAGTCTGAAAGGAGGAGGAGAACATGGCGTTTTCCTTGAGTGTGACAGCATGGTTGAGAGCTCAGTGCTAAAACACTTGAAGGTTTACAAGATCCGGCGAAATGTGAACATCAGCCTCTGTCCGGAGCTGTCGGTGTGGGCAGTACTTTCACAGCAAGGAAGCCCAAATCAAGACACATTTAAACCTGAGCTATCTGACCCTGGAAAAGCTCTGGTGTGGGAGGCTGATCCCCGAACTGCGCAAATGGGGTGGAGACTGGTCATGCAGAGTCAGATTGACCCCTTAGAGATCATTTCATCTTGTCAGAAAGGAGACACAGAAGATTACCACAGACATCGCTACTCAATAGGTATGATCTACAATTGAGTGTCCAGTTTTTATCACATAAGCATAAATGATTTGAGGAGTCAGATGAGTATATATATATATATATATATATATATATATATATATATATATATATATATATATATATATATATATATATATATATATATATATATATATATATATATATATATATACATATATTGTTGATATTATGGCATTTATTTTTTCTCTCTCGTACCACATAGGACTTCCTGAGGGAGTAAATGATCTTCCCCCTGGAGTAGCACTACCACTGGAGTCTAACCTTGTCTTCATGCAGGGTATCAGCTTCAGCAAGGGGTGCTACATCGGTCAGGAGCTCACGGCCAGGACTCATCACACTGGGGTAATTCGGAAACGCCTCATGCCAGTACGTTTCTCATCTCCAGTCCAACAATTCGGGGAAGGAGCCACGCTCCAGACGCAGTCTGGCAAACCAGCTGGTAAACATCGATCTGGCGTCGGGGAGCTGGGTCTGAGCCTAATTCGCACCGCTCATGCCAAAGAAGTGTTGACGCTGAAATCCTCCGACGACACAACAGTGACACTTCAGGCCTCTGTGCCAGACTGGTGGCCTACAGACGTAAAAATGAACTGAAGAGGACGTTTTGTTGCTCCTTGAAATGTGACGCATATCAGAGCTGACATATTTAAGACAGACAAAACCCTCAAGAAGAGTTTAATTGCTTTGGAAAGCTTCTCTTATTTTCTAATATCTCTATTTCTTAATCTATTGAAAATTTAGTATTCATGTATAGAAATATAAAGGTGTTGAAGCATCGATTCTTATAAAAAAAAGACATTAAAAGTAACACAAACACTACTTTTATTCATGTTTGATCATCTTTCAGTGCAAATGCAAAATTCAGGCAGACAAGAATTCAGACAGCAGCGAACCCATTTGCTTTATTATAATAGTTTTCACTCAATGTGGATTTTGTTGAGATGGACACATTATTCCTGATAAAGGAGGTGCTGCCCTCTAGTGGCCTGTATAGTGTCTCTGATCTGTTGCAACATGGTCTCTAGTTGCAAATTTGACGTTGAATGATCAAGACGTTTGAAGTCCTCGTTGCACATCAGGCACTCGATAATGTGAGCGACTCTCTGTAGGTCAAACGCTGCGTGGTAAGGTCCAAGGGTGGTGAGGGTCTCTGAGAGATGTCGTGAGTAATCGGAGGAATCACCAGAGGAACAGGCATTCAAAAAGGCCATCCGATTTTCAGCAACGATCTTCAAAAATGAGGCAAATTCACTGTAATCAATGCCTGAGCAGGCTTTCATAATGACCTGAAAAGAGAATTGGCCAACAATCACAACTAAGTTTTAAGAAAAATGATTTGAATCGTATATTTAGAAACAATCTCATTCACACAGTACCTGGCAATGCTGATGCCATGAATCCATGGTGTTTCTCCATTCCTCTATCTCTTTTTGAACAGAAGACAGCTCATTTTGTAGGAACTGCCACATGATGTCAATATTGCAGCCATTAAGCCAATTATGATTAATGGAGATAGTATCCTCCTAGAAACAAAAGATCAACAATTCAAATGTGTATATTTACCTACAGGTTCATGTCAGTTATTTAGAGTAACATTGAAGGGTTAAATAACCTCATTAGTTCAATCTAAGAAGTTAGCTAATAGATTCTTAGTGATACATTTCAATTGTTTATTTCTTAGTTGCTGAGAAGGTAAATATGGTTGGGCCACTCCATAATATTAATATGGCTTACAGTCTGAGAAACCTGGATAAAATTAAGAGAATCACCAAAGTCTGATGATGAACAGAATATTTCCAGGCTAAAATGTAAGCAAATAATTTTCTCTGGAGTTTAACGTCAGAGTCTGGAGGTTTGGGGATGGGCCATGAATATATGTTGTTATAGGCACCTGAGCAATATCAACCTTGATAAAAGGATCAATACCTGATATAATGATGAAGATAAAAGAGGAAGAGGAGAATGAGAGACAGCAGACCAGCTGAAAGGCTGTTGCTGAAGCAACCTGGGTTTCCCTAACATCCGAGCAAAGATGCGGGCTGATCTTCTGCATGCACGCAGCTACTCCTGACCAGGTAATACTTGCACACACACATACTGTTGAGGAGGAAAATATTTGTGTATTTTTTTTTAGTTGTGCATTTGTGAGAAATCAAATATTTATACCTATTATTACAAATTTAGCGGTTAAAACAGATCCTTTCGCTTCAGCATTTTGAAACAGTGGTCCATGCCTTTTTAACCATTCGGCTGGATTACTGTAATGCACTTAATAAGGGTATTGTTGATTCATGCGTTTTCCAGATTCAGTGTGTACAGAATGCTGCTGCACGCCTTTTAACAGGTACAAGTAAATTGATCATATTTCCCCTATTTTAGCCTCATTACATTGACTGCCAGTGCATTTTATGATTGATTATTAAAAATCCTTTTAAAGCTCTTAATGGTCTTGCCCTTGTCCATACCTGTCTTAGCTGCTTCATCCCTACACACCCTCACGCTCCCTTAGATCAGCTGACCAGTTGTTACTGAGGATGTCAAAGACAAAACGCAAGCTCCGAGGGGGCTGTGCTTTTTCTGTTGCAGCTCCCTAAGCTGTGGAACGACCTTCCCTTGGCCATTAAACAGACCTCTTCACTTTCTGATTTTAAATCTCTTCTAAAGACCGATTTCTTTTCCTTGGCTTTTAACACAATCTGAGATGTTGACTTTGTCTTACTGCATTTCTTTTATTTTATTATTGCTTTTTATTTTACTATTACTTTTATACACTTTATTGTTTTTATGATTGTGTATAGCAAGTTGATCCTGTTGGAAGTGCTTTATAAATATGGTATTTTTCATAGCTCATAAGCCATAATCAAAGCTTACAGAAATGAACACTTTAAATATATCAGTGTCATCAATCAATACGGTTTAACTAATGAAACAAATTATTGAAAAAAGGGATATTCTTATTTTCAGAGGTGAATCTTTATAAACTGTAATGCATCTATGTTTTTTTTTTTCCACCTCTTACCAGATTGTAAACTTGATGGAACCAGCCGCTTGGCACAAAAATAATTTCACCAGCCTCTTGAATAATTTCAAGAGGCTGGCATGCTTCTTCGAACTGTGGGAAAAGGCCTCTGTCTTTGAGTTCAGCTGAAGTAACATCATACGGAAGGTTTCCATGGGTGTCTCGTAGAAAGTCCTCCTGACCCGGAGGATAGAGCAACCACTTTTTTCTCCCACAGATATTTGCAGACCAGCTGTATGAGCGGAATACATCAGCATGGAACGGCGTCCTGGAAAAAAAAGAACAATTAAAAAAAAGGTAACCCCTTTGCCAAGTTATTTTTTTAGATGATAAATGAACATTTTTCTACCATGAGCCTTTGGGTCCCATGTAGACGAACCGATAGTCATCCACATCCAGTGTATCCCAATATTCATTAAGCCAATCGGAGGAAAAGAATATTGGTGTGATGTAAACATTATGGTCTGGAAAATCCCTGTAGAAATATATTAACATGAATAACTGGAAATAACCAGCTGGAAACACTAGAACAGGTTTTAGCCAGTATAAGATTTTCATAGTATCATAACCCAAAGTAACTTATATTTTAGCTCAAAAATATAACGTTATTGCTTTTTAACCACAAAACACGCCTAAATCAGAGCCCATCTTGGTTTGGTTCATTTTTTTTTTTTAAACACCTATCAAGGGATCTTTGTCCAATTTGTCGACTTGCTCTAGTACGAACTGCCAGAATTGACAGAGACTCCTGGATATGTGTGTATCAGTGCTGGATAACTGAAAATTTAGGCATAATTGCCTTTATGACGGAGAAGCAAAACCTAATGCTTCTATATTCAATAGTTTTAATATTTATAATACTGATAGATCAATGACAGGATCTCCTGCTAAACTAATTAAACATGCCAAATACTTTTATACCTGATATTTATATTAAGTGAATAGCAAGGTGAATCTTGTTAGTTAGGCTATCTGCAGCTGCAATCAGTCAATTGAACAATTCAAAATATTGCACATTAACCATGTTTTCATAACATTACCATGGCTCATTAAATCTATCATGACTAATATATATAAATGTTTTCTGTTACGTTAGAAAGGAATGGATTTCCCTTTTTTAAACCATATAATCTAGTTTCAGATACCAATAATATCAAATTCAATTGAAATATAAACATACCTACTCAGCCTAGGTTATATTTTAGAAAAGTAATAACTTGCATCTTAAACTCCGAACTTTGTTTACTTGATTGGTTTGTTTCTAGGCTAAATATTTCTTACCAATTTAATTGACATGACTGACTGCTACCTTTAGTGTGAATAAAAATAAATTCACAAGCTAATAAAGGACATCTAGTAAGTTCAACCTCAGAAAAGTAGAGCAATCTTCAAAGTTTGGTTGTAAAATGATTCATGCCATTTTTTAAAGAAAATATAATAGACCTTTGTTGCTCTGTCAGACTACTGTTAGAATATGATTTTGATAACACTAAACACACGCAGACACAAACTATATTATTTTGGATGAGTATTATACCTTGACATATGCCAGTCTTTAAGATAGAGGCATCCTTTGGGTGAAGAGTGTCCATTCTGGATGTACTCCTTCCAGTAATGTATGAATTCTTTAAATGGCATTAATTGTTTAGGGTTTGCATTGTATTCTTTTGCATTGCAGTTTGCAACTGGGACAGAAGTCTCATCTGTAATAAAAAAAAGGTGCAATTAAAGAATATAAGTTCATATGATGGTATCCGTTCAAGCTGATTATTCAAAAAAAAATCCTTATTTACCAAACTCTTGCAGCAGGTTCTGAAAATGTGGTTTCCCCTCCTCTGTCACCCACTGTTTCCTACACTTCCAGTTCTCTGTGAACCTTTTAGAAAACATGCACGGGTGATTAGGCAGCAAGTACTTCTTGAAAAACTTAGAGTAGTTTAGCTCCTTGTCTATGTAGTCAACAAAATGAGAGGACCAGAACTGCTCGTAGGACTGTCTCGGGATTTTGACAAGGCTGCAGCAGTTGTGGTAGGCGTCTCTGTCCATCGTGTTAAACCAGACCCCGGCTAACTGGCTACCGACGTTAGCATTAAACTGTTACGCCGAAAAGCAATCGACGAGATTAAAATTAAAATACGTCCACGTCCGATTTAGTTACATTTAAAATACATATTTCACGCGCTGTCTTTTTTTTCCCCCTGTACGACAACAAATCACCATATGAATGCTATTTCCCGACGACGCAATGTAACACCGAGACTTTGGTTATGTCAACAATTTCGTTCCTTAAATGCTAACGCTGCAAATGCTCATTCGAAATTAAAAATACAACCGCCGTCACAGCCGTTATTGTCCCCCTTTATTGTCCTAGGAACCGTGACTTTTCACTGTTTCGTGCGGACCATAGACCTAGAAGAACGCACGCTGCTTATGGGTGTCCATTAGCTTACGTCAACCGCACCGCCATGTTGCGAGTGGCATGTTCTGTTCAACTGTTTTCCAGTTACAATTAAGATATTATTACTATTAGTAATATTAGCAGTAGCAGTGGTAGGATTATTATTTATTTTGATATACCTCCAGGGTAAAAACATGACTAAATGACTTAACAACAGCACTTAATATTATTGATTAATGCAGAATTGCTTACCTTCATATCTAGTTGTCAAAAGTAAAATAGTTTAACAGTATTAGACGAAAGTAATCTACAATGTTATAAAATCAAGAAAGCTTCTACCATTTTGATTCTTAAAAAAAGGAAAAAAAAATGTTAGAATTGTAAATATACAGTCATATGTTTATATTACTATTTTTTATGTATTTATTACTGTTTTCAAGGCTGCACTTTAAAAAATGATATTGTCTAGAGCTGTTTTAAACGAAATTTCCTTTTGTTTACACTATATACAAAATGACAAAACCTAAGTCTTAGTGGGCTAAGCCCGATCAATGACGCAATATATTGAGTATTTACTTTAAAATTCAAGAGTCCTTTTGTGTTTTGTTTTTTTCCCTTTTCTTTTTATTCAATTACTTTGTTCTACAATCTGATATTTTTGTTTTCTAATTGTATATAGGTTCTCTGTATGATTCTATTTGTAATATTAAACATAGTGTGCTCAGCTTCTTAAGATATTCAATTTACAATTTTGTAGAATTGTTTTGATATTTGACATTGGCAATACTTTGATTCTCCAATAAAAAAAAGTCTTAGTGGGCTGTCTAGCCACTCGCAATATGGCGGACACGGTCACGCATGCGTTCACAGCTGAGTGTGACATCACTTCCATCATAAACAGGAAGAAAACGAGGCAACGTCATGCTCAGGCTAATGTTTACGCTGTACAGTATACTGCGAGAAAAAGATCTAGAACTAAGACAGGCATTGTAATTTAATTACAAAGGTGCGGGTGAAAAATAACGAATCTGCCTGATTGGAAGCGTCCCCGGAAGTCAGCGTTTTTCCTGGGTTACTTTGAAGGAAGGATGTTCCCAATTAGGAAACGCAGATTACCAAAGACAGCAAAGTCGTGATATAAATTTACATTTACTTGCCAGCATATATATGCCAACACAGTAGTTAATTTGACTTTTACTTAGGTGATCTCGCTCATCTGCCTTTAAGATGAGCCGGGATGCTCCCATCCACACCTGGCCTGGCTCTTATTACATGAACAGTGAGAGGAGGTGGGAGAGCGGAACTCTGACCCTCACCAGGACCATTGTGCGCTTCATCTCAAGCCAGAGCAAGGAGTGCATCGCCAGTTTCCATCTATCCAGGATCATGGAGATAAAGATGGAGTCCTCTAGTTTCATCTTCAGTACCCTGACTGTGCTGGAGGAGGGAAACGTCAAACATTGGTTTGGTTCCCTCAAACCCAACAGGTTGGCGGTTTTTAACGTGCTGGAGCATTTCTGGAGGGAAAGGCTCCTTTCCCCCACCTCAGAGGTTCGGGGGGCTGAGTGTCAACCTTCTAAGGGAAGGGAGCTTATCAAGCTGGTGGCTGGGGCCCAGAGAAGACTGGAGGACACCGGGATAGTCCTCAGTCACCAGGGAGAGCAGTTTGACAACATGGTGCAGGGATTGGAGAAGATCGACTCTGATCTCGGTGTTGCTGATAAGTAATTACCATGTTTTCTTTCCATTTAAACATGTATGATGGCACTAAATGGATGTTCTGTTTAAAAAAAAACAAAACAAAATGAAAACAGTATGAAATGTATAGCCTCATGCAGCATATTGCAAAGGATGCTTGCTTTTTAACTTAAAAAAAATGCTTACAACCCCAGACTTTAATGTATTATATATTTTATATTTTGAACCAACATAAACTAGTAAACTCCTATGAAGTATGTTATGGAAAGCTCTGTGTTTACACCTTGAAGCTTTCTCTTTTCAGTTCTTTTCTTCAGAAGAGATCACTTTGAGCAAACTTGTTAAATAACACTTCATGATGTTTATGCATTAAATATCCAGGAGACATTACAATAGGTTTTTATAGAATTGTAATCTTACTCAGATCAAAGAAGTTACTTTGATTTACAGAAGGCAGCGCTTACCAATCAGGCTTACCTCTCCTGAAGCAGCCCTGAATCACCATTAAAGAGGCATTTTATACAACTCCAGTGTGCCATATCATCACATCTTACATGTTTGCAGATGAGGAGACATCCAATGCTCCAGCCTTATTAAAATATTACACAGTGTCCCAGATAAAAACAGAGAATTCACTGTTAAAAATGATACACTCTATGCCCCCATCTCATTCTCAAATCTCTGTTATGTACATAATGAAGATGATAACTATATATCCGGTATATCAGGACAGAAGAACTGTTCTAATCAATAATCCACTTAGGAAAAGAAATCATTCTGACACACAACAGGCTGGTAATATTAGGTATTAACAGACTCACATGTCATTGATAATAATATTCCTAACAATTAGAAGTAAAAATGATCCACACCAATCCTGTCTAGTACTGACTGTAGAGGTTTGATGTCCCATAGCAGGATGGATCTCCATCCAATTCATGTCTTTTGGAGCATATAACAGGTTTTTGCAGGATTACCATACACAGTTTCTTATAACTTTTTTTTTCCCCTTCAAACTTGGCTTTCATTTTACCACTCCTCCAGGAAGGAATGGTTGTGTCGTGTGCGGCTAATTGTTGCCCTTTAAACAGAATCTCCCACCTGAGCTGTAGATCTAAGCCACTCCCTCAAGCGCCATTAATCATGAGCCACCATTAGCATCATTTTCTGCTCCTCTGATTATTTTTCTCTATCTTTTCAGTTTCAGTCATGTCTTGTTAGGATTGCAGTTGGCCTTACTTGTTGCATTCTTTTTGGTGGATTACTGCGTTAAATTCTGCTGTAAAAATCTACAGTGCTTAGACTTGGTTTTATTTATGGCATTAGAGTAGATGTGGGTAAATAGAAATGAATTTCTTATAACATTTTTATTTGATAAGAAATCTAAAAAACACTTGTTCATAATTTTGAATTCTATTGATGATTTATTACTAATGTGAAATCTTTCTAAAGCATATATGAGTTTGTGGCTGTAATGTGACAAGGTTTACAAATACGCTCATGGTACTGTACATTATTTGCTTCTTTTCAGATTTCTCTCAGAACTTGAGTCTCCTTCCTGGTGGCCTTTTAGTAAACTCAACTGGAAGTTTCAGCAGGATGCCAAAGCTGAGGACGCTGCCAAGGCGGCAGCTGCAATCTCATCGGGCAAAGTCTCTAGCAGGAGCAAGGTGATTGCAAGCATCCCGGCAGTGCTGTCCAAAGGCGGAGACTCGGAATTAAAGCCTGGATGTTTGGTGGTGCTGGTTTCCTCATTGGAGGCACAAGATACCAACTGCCACCTCCTCCATCGATTTGAACGGAACGAAATTGATGAAATTAGGGTGCACAATCCCTACGAGATCACAGTTAGACAGAGGTTTATAGGAAAACCAGATATATGTTATAGATTCTTGTCAGCCAAGATGCCAGAGGTCTTGTCCGTGTTAGAGATGCAGTACAAAAAGAAGATGGAGTTGACAAGGGAATACGAAGCCTTTAAGGCAACTCAGCTGGCATCTCCTTCCATCAAAGAAGGGACAAACTGGAATGAAGGTAAAACAGTTGTTTTGATTTCCTCTGCCATGCTTTAGCAGATTTGACCACTGAGTGGCAGTAGTGATCTGTGTTCTCAGCTTGCTGCATCCAGAAATTAAGTCACATGCAAAAACATTTCATCATGGCTAATGGTGTTTCTTTGTGACAGAAATATAATTTAATGAGTCACTTCACCCTGATTGCCTCAGTTTTCTGCACATTGAGTTTGCTGTCTGGATTTTTTTTAAATAAAAAAACAAACTGTATGCACTTTTTCACCACCTCCACCCAATAGAAGCAGGTTTGATGCAGAGGTGCCAAGACACTGAGCTCCCAGTGGAGGTCCCGGCAGGAGAGCTGTCCCAGTTGCAGGTGCAAGTTCTCCAGCCATCTGTCAGTCAGGCTGAGGCCCAGGAACTCAAACAGGTGAGAAAGCTGGATTTCCAAGGCCTGTATAAAAATATAACGGCTCTACTGGGGCTTAAAGCAGTTCCATATTTGTAAAAACAAGACAGGTGGCAGTAATGAAAAGGCCCACATGTAGTCTGCATAGTGTCACAAAAACGACGCATGCTGTTATTGTAAATAAGCTTACATTTAACAGCAACACATATTTTTCATCTTTCCATTCCAATCCACAATCTGCTGCTGTGATTTATTTTATTTTTTTATCCCATGTCTTTGAAATGTTATTTGGTGAGCCCACAAACCAAAAGTCCATCCTGGGTTTAAGAGAGGAAAAGAAGTACGGTCAGTTATTTGGTCAGTGCCTTTTCCACTCAGTACCTCACAGTGCTGAGAGCTGTTACAGACATGGTCTGTGGTGGCAAACTCTAAACAGTGACGCAAATTCAGGCGTTTTACGCTGACATTTTTTTTCTCTTATGTTTGTGACTCACTACTTGAGGTTTCTGAGAGCTTGAAACTATATGTGAAACTTACAGTAAGCCATTTCTTTCATAAGTTTAGGCCATATGCAAGACTAAAATAAATAAAAAAAATATCCTACAGTATACACTCACCAGACGCTTTTTAAGGTGCACTTGTTCAGTTGCTTGATAACAATAGTATTAAATAACCTAAACATCGGCTATTTGTTACATTAAGGTATCTAGATATGGTGGGGTTCAGAGGGAACTGCAGGATGAGAAAGAGATGAAGTTTATGTCAATTTTAAAATGTTGATGTTGGGGGTCAGACAGGCTGCTCAAGTATTTCAGAAACTGGCGATCTGAGATAATCATTCACCTTCATCTGATATTTATTGAAAACAGTATTAAAAAGGTATACATATTTATTGAGGGCCATTAAGAAAACTTGATATCAGAGTAGAATTGACAGGATGGGCATGGCGGAATAGGAGTTAAACAACCACTACAACCAAGAACATAATCTCTGAACACATCCAACCTTGAAGCAGATGAGTTAGAGCAGCAGAACACCTCACTGAGTGCCCTTCTTGTCAGCTATGAAAAGCAAACCTACCGTAGGCTCAAATCACACCGATTCACCTAAGACTGATTTGAGTCAGCTACAACCCCCATATAGTAGATTAAGAAATTGATTTACAGATTAAAGCACAATCCCTTCTTCCTTTTAATGGTAGTCTAGGCTGATGATAGTGGTTTAGCAGTACAATGGTTTATCATGGCACACTTTGGGCCTTTAGTACCAGCTGAGCTTCTTTCAAACTCCATAGCCTACCTTATCATGATGAGCATTTCCACCCTGCTGACCATAGAGTAACTTCTGATAGATGCTTCACATGTCTCAGATAAACTAACTGGTTTTCTTGAAAGTATTACTGAGTTTTAGTCTACTTAAATTACATCTATGGTTACCAGATCTCAGTCCTATAAAAGAAGCATGGGATGCAATGGAGCCAGCAAATCTACAGAAATTTGTGATGGTATCCTGTCGTTTGAAGTCAAAATCATGGAGGTTTCCTTGTTCGTTTTTTGTGCCATGGAGGGTGGTTCTTAAGGCAAAAGTGGTAATAAAATGACCAGTCAGTTTAAGTCTCCCTATCCTGTCCAAGCTCATATAATAGCATGTGTGAAACCAGACTGGAAGCTGAAGTCCCCTAAAGTTTCCTAGACCAACCCGTTGTCATAGTATTAGGTTTAATTGTTCAAAGGAGTCCTTGATAGGGCTGCAGTATCTTTTGAACGCACTTAATGAATATGCACCTATCTCTGTGATTCATTGTTATGACCCTTTGCTATAAGTTTTATTAAATATTACACAGCACTAACTCTGTCTTATAACTCTCGTTTAAAAGCATTAACAGTGCTGGCTTGGTCGTAAAGCTTGGATCGCCTGTTGTGCTTTTAAATGTTTTATTGTTCTCTGCTGATAATGGCTCACAGTTGAAAGGCTGCCAGTTAAAGAACTCTTTGCAGTTGCAGTGTGCACGCCCTGCTCTTAATATAATTCAACATGAGACTCAAGTTGTATACAAATCCCCTGTTTTAAGGCCTTGATAAAGTGCATTTACCTGTACTTATTTTATCCAGGTGTTAGAGACTTAGCAGGAAGTACAACAAAGCATTGACATTTGTTTTTAAAGCATCAAAGCGTGTGTTTGGAAAGATTTAAGACATGCTGTTGGAGCAAGGGATTTGTATCCTTGTGTTGCAACTTTCATTTCAGTATTTTTAGCTTTACACACTTCCAACATTTCTGGCACAACTTCACCAATTTCCAAGGTGCATGTGAGGTAAAAACTCACCCACCCACTGTATTTGAAACCAAGGCGTTTCATCTTGTGGCCCTCTTCAGGGTCATAAACACATTTATTTCTTTTTAACTTCGTATGTGAATTGACCTCGAGGTATAATGCTGTCATGTCAACCTGATTGGGAAGTCCCAGACCTCAGTGAGTGAATGCATGTGCTTCTTGGAGTGTATTGACATTATCCGCTTTCTGATTCACTGTGTGTGGCTGTTTAATGCCCATGTGAAATGTCCACAGACAGTAGCTGGTGGAACCTGACCTAATGTCAGCCACCACATGAGTATGGTTTGCATGAATGTGTATAATAAAATAATACAAGTTTAGACACAAGGGTGGTGGAGTTGGGAGTGTTTATTAGATTTGCTTGGCAGAGTTTGGTATATCTAAACTTTCCCATAAATCATGACAAACATGGTTTTTATACCATTGACATGTAGTTACAATACTCCATAAACCAACAAAAAGTAGAAGATAAACAATATTGTTTGGCAAAAGAGGGTCTAACACTCTTTTCTTAGTGCATTCTGAGGTTTTGGTTGCTGAATATTTTTTTTATTCGTCAGCGTGACTAACCGATGTTGCATCACAGAACAGGAGAAAGTATATTTTGGGAAACTGGAGAACAAATATTATGCTATTTGAAATTATTACACTTTTTAATGTAATTATTTGCATTGATTTTTACACGAACCAAAATGTCATCCCTCTACCAAAAGTTTCAAACCCCTCAGACTTTTTCCACATAACAACCACACATTTCGAATGATTCAATTGGGATTTTAAATTATTAGACCAAGGCAGTTGGAAACGTGAATTTAAAAGATTATCAAGGAAGTGCTGATTAAATAAAGTGGTGTGTTTTTATATGATCCTCCCTAATCTTTTCTTTTTTTGGGTCAAAGTTCTGCTGCAGTAAGAGGTCTATGTTTTTTGTGCAATAAGAGGAGTTTATTTCTACCAACTTTTCACCAACTATTGACTGAATTTTTTTCCGATTCATCCACAAAGAACAGCTAAGGTTATGCTGTGATCAATGAAGCACATAGCAACACTTAACATGTAACAAGTGATGGAGATGAGAGCACAAAAACAACTAAGAGTTTTTTCTCCTTGAAAATCATTTTCCAAACATCAATTTATTTTTATTTATATTCTGACCAAATATTTTCTGTCAAAACTTTTCCAGCAGCCTGAAATAACATCAGTTTTTGCATTCATAGGGATTTTTTTTTCTCTCTAATATTGATTTTACTTTTAAAATTATTTTCCCCTTTCAGATCGCATTTTTTTTCCCTTGAATTTAATTAAAAGACAAAATAACTCTGTACACTTTATATATAAGTATCTTAAAGTGGTACAAACTAAAGAAGAAATATTATGTGATATTAGGGCTGAAACAATTAATCATGATTAATCAATTATTGAAATAACCGTCAAATGATTTAGTAATCGATTAATCGTTAACTGAATTATAGAGCCTGCAAAACATGCCTTAAACTGACAAAGCAACCCACTTACAGGTCCACCCCATTAAAATACAAATTTCACCTGCTTTGCAGATCAAATGTATGTATGCTAACAAGTTTTTGGTAAAAAATAAGTTAAATTTGGCCTCACCTTACCAGAGTGCTTTCATCTCATATTTTTCTCCTTTACAGGCACACTGTGTAACTTTTCAACACCAGGGACGGTATACCTGTAACTCCAAGTGTTTTGCCTCAATTAAACATAGAAAATAATAACAAAGATTTTATACTATTTTTATTTGTTTTACTATAATTTTTTTCACTATTTAATTATATACTATCTTGTACCATTTTATTTCAAAGACTGGATACTAGGAGCAAAGTGTTAACTTACCAGTCTAATAATACAGTTGAGTTGATATATGTGGTTTTGGCTAAATTTAAATCAGTTCCATGTATGCCGATGTTTACTAAGGCTCTGTATGGCCAACATGTAGTACACTGAAACTGATTTACAGTTAGGTGATTTTAGCCTATTCATCCATTATTATATTATTACTTTGTAACCTGGTGTCTCACTCGGCTGATTTGTAGCAAAAATATTCACACAACTGAGTGTATGCTCCTGTGTGGTTTTCTGTTTGTGAGCAGATGCTGATGCAGCTGAAGAACCTCGCACTGGAGGCGGAGACTGAATTGGAACGGCAGGATGAAGTCCTGGACGTCCTGACGAGTTCAACGGACCGAGCCACCATGCAAATTGGGAAGCACACATATCGCATGAGAAAATTGCTGTAGTCCTGACTGATGAGAAAAATGAAGCATGCTCCATCATGTGCCTCAGAGGGCTTTCTGCTTAAAGAAACCATTAAAGACTCTCACATGATCCTAAGATTCAGCGGAACTTAATGTTATTATGCAGGGGGCTATAATTTCTAGTCAAGAGGGAATGCTTAAGCATTCCCACTTATTGTTTTTCTGTTTTCCTTTATTATTATTATTCCGTACGTTTTTGATCGTTTAACTAGTTCCGCAGTTTTCAGCCCATTTCAACAAATTTGGTATCAAAACGTTCAGCTTGTTCAGGAGAATGATGCTATATCTTTTGGTAAAGATATTTTTTGTAGTTTTCGCGATATTCAGCCTTTTCTGCGATTTTCGGCCCCATTAAAATGCATGTAGAATTTTCAGATTTCTGCAAAATTCAGCTAAAACTTCAATATCTTTGACCTTTAACTACTTCAGCATACTTTCAGCTAGAAACACCATTCAACTTTTAAAATGTTTCTGTATCTTTCTGCTATTACGTTTAACTCAGCTTTTTGCTAACTTTTACAGTTTTACTTCAGTGAAGCTTCGAACTTTAAAAGAAATTTTAAAGATTTTCAGATTTATAATGGAAGTCGATGGACGGAATTCTTCAGCTGTCAGAGTGCGAGCTCTAGCTTTTGAGCTGTTCTGGTTTTTCCGAACAAATTCTTCTCACTCCCTCATTTTTCACTCAATTGAAATACATTTTACATCAAAACGTAGGCATTTTTGTCAGGATTCAGCAAATGTTACCCTCATTTGTCGGGGGGGGGGGGGTTTACAGTTTTCCTGCAGTTTGGCCCAGACCGCGAAGAAGTCCACACTTCCCCAAAAGAAATCCAATGAGAGACTTTCCAAAAATCACAGCGTTGTCAAGGTAACCAAGCTTCAAAGGGATTTTACCTCTGCCACTTTAAACAGCACATTTTAATCTAATGGAGGGAGACAACACTGATTTAACATTTGGTGGATACAATATGACTACTGGCCATGACCCTTCCCTTCACATGCAACCCTGATAGACTTTCAAAATAAGACTTCGGGGACCCTACAAAATAAAAGCCCCTACATTAAACTCATATTTTTTTTCCCCCAGCATATGGCTCAACATTATGACCTAAACTCAACCACTTTTTTTTTAAATTAGACTCAAGGGGGCT